GACGAGGCGTCCGAGCGCCGTGGTTCCACCTGGCCGTTTTCTGCTTGGTCCGAAGGCAGGTTGGCCGTGAGCCTGCTGAAAGTGAAATCGCCCTCCGCAAGCGGTTCGCTGGCTCAGGCGCTCAGCGAGCATCCCTGCGTGTACGTCTCTGGGGCATCGCGGAGGATTTCCTTCAGGTAGCCTCTGGAGGTGTAACTACTTGGTCAAAGTGTCAATATTATTATTGTTATTGTTGTTATTCGAGTTGGAGTCTCACTCCGTCGCCCGGGCTGGAGAGCAGTGGCTCGCCCATGGCACTGCAGCCTCGACCTGCTGGGCTCAGGCGAGCCCTCTGCCTCAGCCTTCCAAGCAGCCAGAACTACAGGTGCACACCGCCACACCTAGCTCATTTTTCTTGATTTATTGTAGAGACAGGGCTCGCCAAGTTGCCCAGGCTGGTCTCGAACCCGTGGGCACAGGCAGTCCTTCTACCTCGGCCTCCCAAAGTGCTAGGATTACAGGAGCGAGCTACCGCACCCGGCCAGTGATGTTTCTATACATATAATGTGTAGTGATCAGATCGTTTCTGATCATTTATCATTTCTTTTATTTATTTATTTATTTATTTTTGAGTAGGCACCTCACTCTGTCACCCAGGCTGGAATGCAGTGGTGCGCTCACAGCCACCGCAGCCTCTACCTGCTGGACTTGGGCAATTCTTCTGCCTCAGCCTTCCAAGTAGCTGGAACCACAGGCATGTGCCACCACACCCGGCTAATTTTTTGATTTATTGTAGAGACGAGGTCTCACCAAGTTGCCCAGGCTGGTCTCGAACCCCTGGGCTCAGGCAGTCCTCTCACCTCAGCCTCCCAAAGTGCTGGGATGATAGGCATGAGCCACTGTGCCCAGCCAAAGTGTCAATATTTTTAAGGCCTTTTGATGAAAACTGAAATTGCCTTCCAGACGGATGAACCAGTTGACAATGACAGTTGGCAACAATATTTCAGGAGGACGATGAGACCGTGAACAGAAAAGCTGGTGTTTCTCGGTGGAAGAGGGTAGGCGGAGGCTGCCTGACAGCAGTTAGAGTGTGGTCCTCAAAGAAACCACAGAAATGCAATGGGGAATTGAAACCCCACCTGGAAAGTGGGCAGGAGCGTCTCAGTGTGACTGAGGGGAAGGAGTTTCAGCACAGGGTTTAGCAGAGTTTAATAGATCCGCTCTCCTAATCCTTGCTCCTACTTTCAAGAAAGGAAGCTTGAATTTCTTCTCTGTCTCTGCCTCCTACCCACCCTACCCGTGGAAGGTGTGATCGGTTCCATTCCATAGTGGCACACCGGGCTTCCCCCAGGGACAGACCCCTCCCCCATCTTGATGGGCCATCATTTCTTCCCTGGTCGCATTTTCTGCGCCTCGGACGTGTCCGTTCTTGTCTGGGAATTCACACACAGCATGATTTCATACCTGAAGAAGACGACATCAGTGCTCATCTCTTAGAGCAGTTGCCCTCATGTGGGGTTTAGAGGTCAAAGAGCATGTGTATTGGCCAAAAAAATAGACTGGCTGAAATACAGTACAAATCTTTTACTTCCCAGCTTGAATATATCTCCAAGAAGAAAGTGACTTCTCTTTCCTCCTCACTGCTATATTCCCAGTGCCTAAAATAGTGCCTGGCATAGAAGGGGTGCTCATTCAATGTTTGCTGAACAAAAGAATTAGTAAAATTTCAAGCAATAATAAAATAGAAAATGTAATCTAGGCAGATACCTCTGGAAGAGTGGCTGTGAGTCGTTCACCTCAGTATGCGCTGGTCAAGGCCAACTCCCTCCCACTCACCTGTTACTAGTAGAATCTGCTTGTTGAGAGAGTAGGATTCATAGTTTGGAGTAAGTGAGAAGTAGAAGAGGAGACTTTGAAGGATGGCACTCGCCCCCTTCAAAGGGGAACTGGCATGGTTGGAATTGTGAATTGGGATCCTGAACAGCTGAAGGGTAAGGCGACATAATTCAGGTGTGGGGGGAAGAGCACTGAAAAGTGGGAGAAGTAAAAGATTCTCCTTGCTCTGAAATCTTGCAAAGAGCAGATCTGGATTTCTAGATATGTTGAAAGGATTTGGGTGCAATATTTTCTTCTTGGTTTCTTTTTGAGTATGCATCACAAGTTTTTTCAGGACTCATAACTAAATTTAAAAAATTCTCATCTTGGCCGGGCATGGTGACTCAAGCCTGTAATCCAGCACTTTGGGAGGCTGAGGTGAGAGGATTGCCTGAGGTCAGGAATTCAAGACCAGCCTGAGCAATTTGGTGAGACCTCATCTCTACCAAAAAAAAAAAAATCAGCTGGTCATGGTAGCGTGTACCTGTAGTTCTGGCTACTTGGAAGACTGAAGAGGAAGGATCGTCTGAGCCCAGCAGGTCGACGCTGGGGTGGCCATGAGTGTGTCACTGCACTCCAGCCTGGATGACAGAGTGAGATACCAACTCAAAAAGAAAAAATTCTCATCTTATTATAATAACTTTTTTTCGTTGGCTCTGGGCTGTGAAGTACAGGTATTGAACTTCCAGATTCCCTGCTGCATTTCCACACTTTTAAGTCAGTCTTGGTTGGTTATCAGAAGACTATTTCTGTTGTGAGATTTGAGCATCCTTCCCTATGTTTACATGCCACTTGTATTTTTTATTCTCTGAACCGTATGTTAGAACCTTTTGATCATTTTCCTCTGGGCTGGTATGTAGTATGTAGCTTACATATTGCAAACATTAATCTCCCTTCTTATGTATGTGTGGCATTAATTAGCTGACCATTTGTGAGTTTGTGTACACATACACAATTGTTGGGTAGAGCAGCCTTCTTTTTGTGTTTTCCGTGTTTAGGTCATTCCAGAAAGATGAGGATACTTCCTGTCTTCACATTCACAGCCTACTGGCATTTGCTGAACGGTAAGGCACCAACTCCTTTCATTAGGTGCTGTAAGTTAAAGATTTTAACCATGAGTTGAAAATTAAAATGATAATAAAAATCATTGTAGTTTTCTTATAGAGAGAACATTTTAGTTTTTGCCTTATATTCATAAACAAGTCACCTGTGTCATTGTATGAAGATACAGAGAATAGAGCCAAAAAACTGAAATAAACAGAATAACTTGTTACCTGTTTCTCAGGGATAACTACTGAAAAATATCTGGGGAACCGGCCCATGTGTATGCTTTTGTTGGTTTTAAACAAGGCCAGGATTGTTCAATCTAGTTTGCTCTCTGGCCTGCTTTTCCCAATAATGATGCTCTAAGGAATAAGTTTCGTGCACACAGAGAGTGTCAGGTAAATCAGCCCTGGCAGCACCCTGAGGCCCTCCCGAGCTCCATAATAGGCCAGGAAGGGATTGGAGTGTAGGAGGTAAGAAGAGATGACTGCTGGAATCCACCTGCATGCTCTGTGGGAGGCAGACAGGTGTCCAGTCAAAGAGCGTTCTGGGGATGCCTACATAAAGGCACGCCTGCCTCATTCCCGTATGCCATTTCTACAGTCCTGTATGTTTATGACTTGTGAGGCAGCTTGTTTAGCTCATTGTATCATTCTAGCTCAGAGATGGGATGTAGTGTCCCCAAATATGTTTCAGGCTCCCTGGATAAAATGTGCATTTTGGGGAAGTAGGTTCTCAAGTACAATCATCACATAAGTGACCAAATAAAGTGACTGCAACCCTGTACCCCTTTTGGAAATGTTTTGAGGAATTTTCCGTCTTCTGAATGCTGGTCACCCTTCTTTCCAGCCTTTACTGTCACCGTTCCCAAGGACCTGTATGTGGTAGAGCATGGCAGCAATGTGACAATTGAATGCAGATTCCCCGTAGACAAACACTTAGACCTGTTTTCGCTAGTTGTCTACTGGGAAATGGACAATAAGAAAATTATTCAGTTTGTGCGAGGAGAGGAAGACCTGAAGGTTCAGCACCGCAGCTTCAGCCAGAGGGCCCGGCTGCTGAAGGACCAGCTCTACCTGGGCAGTGCCACACTCCAGATCACAGATGTGAAACTGAGGGATGCCGGGGTTTACCGCTGTATGATCAGCTACGGTGGCGCCGATTACAAGCGGATCACGTTGAAAGTCAATGGTAAGAATTTATTCCAGACAAAGAGGCCTGACATTTATCCAGTGCGCATTTCTTGAGCACCTCCTGTTTGACCGTCACTGGACATCCAGAACCAAACAACACAGAGCTGTGTTCTATGGTATGTTCAGTTTTCCAAAAAAGCCTCCTAGTCTTTTTTGCTATCGTGAGAGTAATGCAAACGCTTGCAGATAATTCAGATACTATGGAAGGGAGTAAAATGCATCGCAAAATGTCCCTTCACGGCCATCTTACATGGCATGCAAAGATAGTAGCCACAATTTGTGTGTGCCTCCAGAAATTTTTTTATTCCACTACTATATTTTTTCTTTTGAGACTAGGTTCCACTGTCTCACCCAAGCTGAAGTACAGTGGTTTGATCATAGCTCACTGCAGCCTCAAACTCCTGGGCCAAGCTATCCTCCTGCCTCAGCCTCCTGACAGCTAGGACTACAGGCATGAGCCACTATGCCTGACTATTGTTTAAAACTTTTTTTAAAACATGGGGTCTCACTCCACTTCTCAGGCTCTTTTTGTTTTATCTTATGTGTCTCTCACATTTTCCTTCCTTTGAGTCTCCCTATGTCAAACCCAAACATATTAAGAGCAGACTCCATTGTAAGGTTCACATTCAAAAAGACTTGAAAGTCAATCTATGAAGGCAAAAGATAATCATGTTAAGTGTAAAGGAGCTCATTCTTCCTCAGAGGCAGTGTAAGCTGTGCTCACTAGACATACATTTATCTTGAAAATCTATGTAAACGTTATCTTGGAAACTTGAAGAGGAACCATGTATGTCAATTCCTGGGTACTCACCCATAAATATGTCATCAGGTCACTTGAGTTCAAAGTTTGGGGCTGGCACTAGCAAGTAAAGGAAAATACCTTAGCTGACTACCTCTGCTTTCACTGTTGAGTTTCATAGAATTGAGATCCCAGTTATGAGCAGCTCATTCAAACTCCCACAAAGAACAAAAATCCCCCAAAGGCTTTTCTGTTCATAAACTTCCCACAATGGTGTTCCTGTCATTTGGACTCCCTTTCCATAGCCTGTTGAAATTACTCCCTGAGTAATCTGCCCTCTCTAGTTATAGTTTTGAGATTATTTTGTTACATAGTGATCTTTTAATAGTTGGTAGAATTATAGTTTTGAGATTATTTTGTTACATAGTGATCTTTTAATAGTTGGTAGAATTTTAATAGTTGGTAGAATAGTTGGTAGAATTAATCCTGGTCTAACTACCACCAGTCTGAAGGTTAGTAATACAAGTAGAAAAAGTTTACATTTATCATAAAGGATCACTGGTAACTATAAACTCAAAAACAAAATTACGTAGGGATTAGGAGAAATGCGCCCACTTTATGGTACATTACTAGTCTCTGATTATGGCTCAATTAATGCTACTGTCATCGAGAAAATGTCACTTTTCTTGTGAAGTAGATTCAGTTATCCTTCTGTTTTACCAAATGCTTCTCCGTTTGTGATATTTGTGAAAGAAAGCTTGAAATGTGATGGTTTACATTTTCAACTTTTCTTTAGTCCATCGGCAAATGTCAGACATTTACTGTGCTCCAAGGCATTAAAGAAATGATTAAAACTTAGCCTTATCAATAGCCAGCATTGCTAGATCTGGAATGGAGAACAAGAGAATAATCCTGGCAGTCAGGAAGAGGGAAGCAGAGACTGTAAGTTTCCGCTTCTGGAGAGATCAGACTGGAGAGAGTGTGCAGGTTAGCGGCAGCTATCCCCCTAGTGGGAAGGGGTTTCCTCCAAGTTGTCTGGGCTCCCTAATATCCCTTGTGGACGGCAGTTTTCTCTGCTGTTGCTCAACACAATAGGAAGTCTTGAGCTTTTCTTGGTCTTGACTGACCGACTGATGGTCTTCCCAAGGTGGGAGCCTTAGTGGAGGAGAGCAGATGACCCACCAGACTTGAGGATCTGATGTGTTTGGCCATTCCATTTTGCATTATAAGTGGCTCCATTTGCATCCTGGTCCCAATCCACCATGTTGTCATTTGCATACAGTAGTCTTGGGAGTTGATTTGAGCTGTTCAAGAGTCTGCACCTTCTGCTCTGAGCACAAGCCAGCCGCCACGCGTCCCTTGCACCAAAGCAGTGTCACTGGCGGAAGGTGGTGGCTGGCTTGCCGCTTTACAACTTGAGGAAGCAAAACTCCTGAGTCACCTTCATATGCAAATGATTTCACAGTATTAATACGGTTGAGCTTCTCTTCCCATCGTTGCAAATATGTGGTAACCGACACAGCTCCTCCCTGGGGTTTTTCTCACCATGGAATTTTGCAGGTGAAGCATTTCAAAACTGAAATTCGAAAGAGGTGGGTTTTAGATTGACTCAGCTATCATCACCACTTGGGTGCTGTCGTGCCGTTCGTGCTTGTTAGTTTGTTGCCAGACTCCCAGGCATCTGACTTTCAGTTAAAAGTGTTTTTCCTTAATCACGGAACCTAATAGCAAGGAAAATGAAATGTCCATTTATACGCTCAGGACCTTACATAGAATTAGGCAGCTGAAAGATGAAGTATTGCACAGTTACCCTGATGAAGCTGTTTCCAGCGTACGACCCAAAGTTAGCTGCTGTCCTTCCCTGCCAATCCCACCTCTTTACCACACCCCCCAGCCCTGTTTAAGTGTTCTCCATAGCATTTATCCTTATCTCACATAGCGTGTGGCATCTCCTATAACTGCACCTATCTGTTTTGTTTATTGTCTCTCTCCTAATTCTGGAAGATAAATTCCACACGGGCAGGGATTTGGGCCCTGTTTTCTTCACTGTTGTAACCCTAGGACTTGACATGCAGCAGAGTAGTCGTGTGACAAGAGCACATAAAAAACATTTGTTGAGTGAAAGCATGAATGATGCTTTAAAATAGGCTTAGCCTTCAATTTTGGAAACACGGACAGGTTTAGCTATGTAGAAATGTATTTCCAAGGCATTTCATCAGGAGCTGTCGGTGCTTGCCAACGAGTGGCACCAGGGCACTCTGAGGCAGGGTGGTGTGGAGAGGAGGGCTTGCTCTGCGGCCACGGCGCTCCCCCGCTGCTGCACTCACACTCTTTCTGTCTTCGGCCCGTGCGATCACTCTGCCTGGGTTAGTGTATTTCATCCCCAAATCCACCCCGTGGGGTAGGTGTGCCATCTGTCTATGACGAATATTTTTCATCTTACCATCCCTGAAATCTGAGTGTGTCCTTCAGTAGATGGGATATTTGATTCAATGACATGTGGTATTATTCTTCCCATGTTAAGGATAACACAACTGAGGGCCAGAGAAATTAAGTAATTTGCCCAAATTCACCCGGCTAGTAAGTGGTCAAGGAAGGTTCTAGATCCAAGCAGTTTGGCTCTGAAGTCAGTGCCCTTAATAACCACGTTTTACTGCCTGTATTTGTGCCTCTGGAGTGTATATCAAGTTGTGTATAGACTTCAAACTATCCTGAGCTTCTCTTAGTCTTGAGCGGCCAACATCAGCGTAGTGTTCTAAATCTAGTGAGGGGTCTGCAGAAATTTTTGATTTCTCACCCTGACTATAAAGCATTTTAAAGTAGTTTGTTTGAGTTCACATGTGCATGTGTGTAATTACAAGGAATTTGCTTGCTACTAGTATGTAGGTTGTGTATCATGAGAAATTGCCACTTTTGAAGGGCAAAAGAAGTCAAGCATCACCAGTTTCATCTGGCTCAACTTAACGCATTGTGCCTTCTAAAAATGTACCAGAATAGGCATTTTAAGACGATGAAATAAAAATTTAATACAATGCTTTCAGTGTCTTACATATTGTGACGCTTCACTATCATTAGCTAGTATGTCAAGGTACAGTATAGCTTAGGGTGAAATTTATCCATAACAAAGGTGAATGGTATTGAAAATCTTGACTTGTGTAACTAACACTGTCAGGTCCAATTAAGTGCCTAATCGTTTTTAACTTAATATAGTGGCTGATAGAAAGTGTCACTTTTGCCATTTTCTTTTGGGTCGTGCTTGAAGTCTTAGTATTATCTTCAATCCACAGTTTCTCTGTGGGAAACTTTTTAAGAGTTGTTCATTTTGTATGATGATTAGTTGAAATTGGATGAGAATTGGAAAACTCATAATAACCCCAGAGTGAGTTACTGTCCTCCCTTTGATGGTATAAAAGTCTTGTCTTCTGTGAGAACTTCATGTGGCATACCAAGTGTGAGCCAGTGTCAACTAGTAAAGCTTATTAAGTTTAAATTCTTTCTTGTTATGATAAAACATATATAAGAGTAAGTTCTATTTTCTTCTTCCTATACGCCCATAGTGGATATTTAATCAATTCTTGTGGAATGAATCTACTCATTCATTGAGCCCTAGGAATTACACCATATTTACACGTCTCCCAATATGATACAACATTCTCCTTTACTTTTCTTCCACTAAAAATGATAACTGGAGAGTCAAAAAGCAAGCATGTTACCCTTAACATTGTACCATTAACATTGACATGGATTTTAGATTTGGCGTTTTCATTGCCCAGAAATCAAGCTAGTGTGATGTAAACTAGACTCAATTGTAGTAATATTATTTTATAACATATCATCAGTGGATTTGTTTTTAAATAATTCTTAAGCATGTTAGATGCAAGATTGAGGACTCAAGTACTCATAAGCACTATTACTTGTGTGTGTTGACATCACAGTTAGGTTGATTTCCGTTGTTTTCATTGGTAGTGATTTCATTGATTTGAGAGTCTGTACCAAGACATCACATCATTAGTTGTATCAGTTTTGTTTGGTCCTAGCTGTTTTTTGTTAACTCTGTGAATAAATAAATCATAGGTCTAAAGTTATGCCTCTGGTAAAAGAATGGAGAGTGCAGGCTCTAGACCATTAGTGGTTACACTGAAGCAGTTGGAGTAAGTAAAGATTATGCCAACAAAATAAAAACATAATCATACACTTGTAATGAATAAACATTTACAAAGCTCTTATGCTATATGGAGGTACTAAACAATCTACTAGAATGGTCAGCAAACTGGGTATCTTTTTTTTTTTTTTTGAGTTGGAGTCTAACTCTGTCGCCCAGACTGGAGTGCAGTGGCCGCTCCCGGCCACCACAGCCTCGACCTGCTGGGCTCCAGCGATCCTTCCACCTCAGCCTTCCAAGTAGCTGGAACTCCAGGCGCACGCTACCACGCCCAGCTAATTTTTTGATTTATTGTAGAGATGCGGTCTCACCAAGTTGCCCAGGCGGGTCTCGAACCCTAGGGTTCAGGCAGTCCACTCACCTCAGCCTCCCAAAGGCACGAGATTACAGGATGAGCCACCGAGCCCGGCTTAACTGGGTATCTTAATCTCAAGCCAGTGATCTATAATTGAAGCCAATTTTCTGCCTTGTGTGTATGATAATTATTTAAGTGATTTATTAAAATAGCCAGCATTAAAAAGTTTAAAAATAAGTATCGTAATGTTGTATCCTAGAGGGAATCTAGATCAGAAAAAGGACATTAAGGAAAATGGGAGGAATTGAATAAATTAAGGAGTTTAGTCAATAACAGTGTCCTTAGTTATGACAACCAAACCATGCAATGTAAGGTGTTAACAATAGGGGAAACTGGGTAAGGACATTAACTTTATGCTATCTTTGTAACTTTCC